TTTGCTCCTTCCGAAAACCCTAATCCTGAAATTGTGCTGGTGGCATCTAGCGACGGATTTCTATCCGCCTATTCAATCGCATATCGCGACCTGCACCTCCTCCTGTCCACGGGTAAGAGTTATTTCTGTATTCGTGATTTTTCATTTCCCTATACAGCTTGGAGAGGAAGAACGTGGTGCTTCAAATTGCTTATGGGCTATGTTGTTTCACATATGCATCCTTATAGTTGCAAACCTGTGGCTTTATTCCCCCCCTCAATTCCTTTGTATCTTTTTTTTGTCTTTCTCTCCCTCTCCCCCTATCTCCCTGCGTTGTGGTGTTGCATGTACATGGGAAGAATGCAATGCAAGGTTGATTTTGAATCATTTGAGGAGAAAATGAACAAGTGTATGCTACTTTGTTGTGATTTATATTAGATTCTTTTATGATTTTGTGAGGTGAGAGTTGCCTTTGCAAATGATTTAACAGAAAAACATAAGAATTTGACGATTATTTGGGTAGGATTGAGAATATATGTTTCACAAAACACACGAACAAAACAGCTCAATAGTTTATCCAGAACAGGGGCAGATTGGTCATTTCTCCAGAATCAGCTGTTTTCAAAACGCACTAACCAAACATCCATACAGATTATCCGGATCAACTGCCCATCAACAGATTATCCGGATAAGCTGCTTATCAGCAGAAGCTGGATAAGCTGCAGCTGCCCCAAACAGACCCTAAATGCCGGCCATCCAATGATCCGATTAGGAGAATAGATGTTTTAGATACAAATTAAGTAATGATCTTAATTTATTGTATAGCAGAGGTAGACCTAGGAAGAGTTGGGCTTATTGTATAAAAAATGATCTTAATTTATTAAAACTAAATGAAAATATGACACTAAAAATAGGACGTAATGGAGAAAAAAGATTCATGTAGCCGACCCCATGTAGTGGGATTAAGGCTTTGTTATTGTTGTTGTTGTTGTTGATCATCTGAAATTGTAAAGTAAGATGAATATGTGTTCTGTTAAATCATTAGAAGTAAACAAAACTTAAAATTTCATTTGACCATCTTCTGTTTGATGGAGTCAGCATATTAACATAGGGATTATTTGGATGGTTTTTATTTTGAAATTGATAACGGTAATGGTTTTCAGTAGGAAATACTCCTCTAGATGAATATGTGTTCTGTTAAATCATTCGAAATAAACAAAACTTAAAATTTCAGTTGACCATCTTCTGTTTGATGGAGTCAGCTTATTAACTTAGGGGTTATTTAGATGGTTTTTTCTTTTGGAAATTGATAAAGGTAATGGTTTTCAGTAGGAAATGCTCCTCTAGATTTATAATTAAATGCCCCCCACCTGACAATTTCTTTTCTCCACAAATTTGTTGCATAGCATATGCGGTGTCTTGTTACATCAACATCAATGCCACTGTGTTTTTTTTTTCTCTCTATTTCGATCCTTCCCTAATTACTTTTGTTTTTCATGATAAACCCCTCCTGCCGTACTTTTAGAGAACCAGAATTCTCTCTGGAATAGATTGCCCCTCATTTGAGTCCTAATATTCTTGTGTTCATGATAGATAAAATTCAAATAGTTTACTAAATTTGTTATGGGAAATCAAATGATGTATCTTCCTTTTTCTAGGTATCTTGAAACAAAAATGTCATTAATAGATAATAGTTAAAAAATAACATCTGTTTTACAATCAATTTTTACTGGGACATTGTACATATATAGATAGACACATCTTCATGTTTCTAAATTTGTTCATATATATATATGCATATATATTTGTTAACTTTAGATATATTGTTGCATGCGTTTATGCTACCTTTGTGTGGGGAAGATAGATATTTTGGTCTGCCATATATATTCCTATCATACACACTGTCGTGACGATTGGGATAAGGCTATTGTTGAGAGAATGATTATATAGTTAGATTGTAACAATTATAAGGAGAATAAGCTGAGTTTGGGAATGGGTTGCCCCCACAACCGAAAGGACTCTGATTTGCATCTCCACTCTTAAAATCTAAATTAATAAGGTCTGAATTTGAAATCCAACCAGTAGCTTGAGTGGGAGATTTTCAGCAACATGATTCATTTGGGTTTCTTGCACATGAAGAAGATCCAGTACCAGAGGTAACCCAAAAAATCACAACAAAATGATAATTTTATTGCGGAAATTCAAAAGGGTTACAAACAAAACACTTAAAAATAGGAAAGCAATGACAAAAATACAAAAGGACTTTCCAGGGCAAGGATCGACGGGTGCGGGCTTCATGTTAAGGTAATGATAACGGAGAACGGTGGTGGGTTCCTGTCGTAATTTATGCATTCAAGGGTCATCGAAGGTCAGTAGTACCCTAGTCTCTTAATCTTGATTTTCATTTTGGTGTCCGATTAATAGGATTTAGAAAGGTCGTCATCGACCTTAGTCAAGATCTTTTGAATCTCATCCTTTCCAACACAACACAACCACATTTGGTCAAATATGTGTTGGTAAAGGGTACCATTCAAAATGGTAAATGAAAACGCTCTCTTCTGAATTTGAGTGACAAGAGAGAAGGTTGCTAGAGTGTGCAACAACAAACCGGGGAAGTGGTGTGGCGGCTAGACAACAAGCAGGGGTTGGCAAGGTGCGGTAACCGAGAACGAGGCAGTGGGAGGGCGTAACAACAAACAAAGGGTGTTGGGTAGCAAGTTGTAGGCGGTGGAGGGTGCGGCGCCAAGCCAAAATTGGATTGGGACAACTGGACAACAAGGGATTGCAAGTGGGTGGTGCGTCAACAAGAAAAGACGATTGAAAGATAGAAATTTGCAAGAAGCAATAGAGGGAAAATTGTTCCGGGCGGCTGTAGTAAGGATAGAGTGGCTTGGAGCAGCATGACATGATGTGGAAGGTGGGGATAGGGGAAGATAATCACCACCCAGGGAGATAGATGCAACCACTCAATCCCTCAGATAATCACCACCCAGGGAGATAGATGCAACCACTCAATCCCTCAGATATAGCCTTCGAAGGGAGAAGAATGGATGCTGGAGGATGTCCTAAACAAAATACACAAAAAAAATTGATAACCTAAACAAAAGGAACATATAAATAAGTCCTAGATAACTAGGATTGGATCTCCCATGGAAAGGAGGTGCCAAGTCCACATGGAGGAGTCAGTTGACCCTCCCTGGTTTGGATCAGTTCAGTCCAGACGAGTGCAATTGCCGGAGTACCACCCAATCCCCCTCGGATACAGACGTGGAAGGGAGAAGAACGGACGTTGAAGGATGTCCTAAACAAAACACACAAAAAAAAAATTGAAACCCTAAAACAAAGAAATCACATAAATAAGCCCTCAATAACTAGGATTGGATCCCCCTATGGAAAGGAGGTGCCAAATCCATATGGAAGAGCCATGCCCTTCCTGGTTTGGATTGGTTCAGTCTAGAGGAGCGCAATTGCAAGAGCTAGAGCGATTCTTACGCCACGTGAAGCCGAGACTATCCTTCACACCCGAACGAGCGCACAATAGCAGGAGCGGAAACGATGCCTTTTTACGTCGCGAAAAGCCACAAATTGCTGGAAGAAATGACAAGACAACTGTTCCGGGCAGCGATGTGGGAGGATGCAGAAGTGGGATGGGGGGGAAGATAATCACCAACTTGAGGGAGATATGGTCGGAGAATCACCCAATCCCTCGGTACAACCCTCGAGGGGAGAAGAACGGACGTTGACGACTGCCCTAAACAAAACCCACGAAAAAGATGAAAACCTAAAACAAAAGAATCACATAAATAAGCCCTAGATAACTGTAATTGGATCCCCTATGGAAATGAGGCATCAAACTCACGTGGAAAAGCCGGTTGGCCCTCTCGGATCTGGAAAGGACGTGGGAGAATGCAGAAGGGGGATATGGGAAGATAATCATTACCTCGGGAGAGAAATATAGATAGAGCATCTTCCAATCCCATAGATACAACCCTTTAAGGGAGAAAAAATTGATGTTGACGACTGTTCTAAACAAAACTAAAAACCTAAAACAAAGGAATTACATAAATATGCTCTAGATAACTAGGATTGGATCCCACTATGGAGAGGAGGAGGCAAACACACGTGGAAGAGCCGGTCGGCCCTCTTGGGTCTAGATTGGTTCGTTCCAGACGAGCATAATCGTTTGAGCGAGAGCGGCTCCCTGTTACGCCGTGGCTATCCTTTGCACCCACATCTAGAACATATTTTAAAAAATAATTATTTCATTTTTACTCGTTTTGCATGTTGGAATGAAATTCTCACATTGAGAATTCAACAGTGATTCCTAAATACATCTGTGAATTCAATATTTTTAGAAACATATTTTCAAATGTTCAAGAAACCGAAAAGCAGAGCTGCTTGTTTAACCCATGTATATTGCTTTTTGTGTTCGAACGGAAACCTTTCCTTACAAAACTACCACATGAAAGTCATCAAAATTGAAATCCGTAGTTGGCTTAATTGGGGATTTCGCAAAAAACAGTTCATTTGTGGCAGATTTCTCATAATTTTTTTTCCACAGTTCTAATTGGAGAAATGTGAAAAAATAGTTTCCGACTCTTTACAGGGTGTCATTGTAGCCCCGGAGTCTATAAAAGTTTCAATTTATTAAATAGTCTTGACTAAGGACTATTTTTACCCGCAAGTAAAATATTATGGATTAATTTAGCACTTTTATAGACTCTTGGACAAACATGAATCATTTTAATTGTTTACCCGCTCTACTTGGCTACAACTATCTTGCTGCATTTCGAAAATTTGTGCTGAGAACCAATCTTTTTACATCCAAAATTACTGGAGATCAAAACTATAATACAAGAAATCATAAAACAAATCTATAATACAAGAAATCATTTTTCCCCAAATAGTTCTACTACTAGTATAACAGACAGCTGCAGCTGTTCCAAATAAAGCCTTATGCTGCTAATCTGACCTCCTATATATATAGTTCCTTAGACTAAATAAGCCTAATGATCTGCTAGATGGCCATGAACCTGGATGGAGATCTGTCCCAAACCACGATCCGGTCGTCCGGGATGCAGCAAACCATGCTGTGAAGACCATCAATGAACGGTCCAATTCTCTTGCTGCTTATGAGCTGCTTGAGATTCAACATGCAAAAGCCGAGGTTGAATTAGTTTGTTCGAGTTTTACTGGTTTTCGTGCATGCCACTCAATTCCTATGTACTTACATATTTAACTCCTAAACTTCAATTTTTTACATATACGCCTTATCACCTTACATATGCATGAAAATGTGTATTTTTGCATTTTAAAAATTAAAATGTTGTTAAATTTCATGTGATTTGTAAGATATGGTTGTTAGATATGTAAATACATAGGAATTGAGTGATAAATTTCCCTGTTATATTTTGTTTGCTCTTTAAATCCTTATAGCTGAACGCTGATTTTGTCATTTATTGTTATGTTTTTTTTTATTGTTTTGTTTTTTTTTTTTTTTTTGGCTTATAGGTGATTGAAGACTTTGCCAAGTTTGATTTGCTGCTGAAACTGGGGAGGGGAGGGGGGAGGGAGGACAAATTCAAGGTGGAAGTTCACAAAAATGTTGAAGGGACTTTTAGTCTGAATAATATGCATCAGGAACATTAGTTCCTGTGTGTCTTGTTGTTATTAGCAGACCATTTACTAATGACTAATTTGTTAAATAAATAAGGAACTTAATGGTGTTTTGATGGTTCTTGTTTGGAGTATAAAACACTTGTTTCATGCATGGTGTAAAATAATGTGTTTGGAAGGATGGATTTGGTGCAATGATTTTGCTTTTTTTTATATATATTATTTTCCTGATAGAGCATGAATTTGAATTACAAAAATAGCCTCTCATGTGTGGGTGTGTGGGTGTAATTTGCATGTCACTCTCAGTACTTTTTACTCTGTTTCAAATTAGTTGGCTGCTTCTATGTCTGCTTACAGAAGCTAAATATGTGGTGTGTGGAGTAAAAAATTATGAGATTTTATATTTATTTGCAACATTTATCACAAATTTTAATGTCTCATCTTATGTCATAATTTAAGGAGCATTTATATACATATTACATAATTCTTATATTTACGCGTCTAACATCAAAATTTTGTTATTTCCATTATCACTCGAATCAAATCTTTAACTTCACATCAAAATATTGTTCTTATTTACTTGCAAAAAAGAGAGATTTACGGCATATGGGTGTTATAAATATAATTACCAAATATTTGGTGTTAAATATGTAAATACAGAATAGTGTGGCAGGTATGTAAATCTCCCTTTTTCTATTAATATAAGCAATTTATATTTGTAAGACCTTTTTAACTTTTGTTCTAACAAAAAGGGGGTTAAAAACTTATGACAATCTCAGCTAGTCAAAAATTATATTTGGTATCGAGTCAATTATGAAATAATAAATCCTACATTTTGAATGGATCATTTGCTTTGTTGAATTTCATTTGATTTGTAGATGTTAAATGAGTTTGACTTGCTTTGAACACTTTCATGAGTTCATGATACTGAAACTAATCAAACTCATGATTACGGAAGCAAATTTTATTAATAAACACCAATCTCTTATTAGGGTCGGATAAAGAAATCCATGGGCAGTGGTGGTGTCAGCAAGATGGTTGGGAGTAGTGGTGGTATAGGGCTTGTAATGCCTGGAATGGTGTGGTATGTTGGTTGATGGTCAGGATCAGGCAGGACTGGCAGCCATTACAGGGGGGAAGAGTAGTTGCGGCTTTCAGGGAAGGTGGAAGGGGAAAAATAAGTTGTAAATGCAGGCCGATGGCTAAGGGAGGTGAGGAATAGGGTAGGGAGGAAATCGTAGAGGAATAGTGCAGGCCGATGGCATGCAAACAGTTCTCCGGATTTGACACACATTAAATATAATAATAACCAAATAATCTTCAGAATTCATCACTTAAAATTTATGAAATCCAAATTTTTAAGATTTAACATTAATCTCTCACTTGCTGCTAAACAGCCTCCAAAAATGTCCTCTAAAACTTAAAACCAAAGTAACTATTGCCCCCATGCAGGACCTCACACTTCCTGCAATATGCCACAAATTCTGTAAGATAATCATTACTGTTGATAATTCAGTCCACAGATTTTCAATATTTGCAAACTTCTGTAAGAACATATATGCATATGAATCCATTTATTTTAAAAAAATTGTGTTCTACGACCATCAAAGAAATAAAAGCATAACTGTAATTGTAATTTGGTGTTATAATTACAACTATTACTAAATCAGCGATAATCCTAAGTATATTACAAAAAGAGCACCTCACTCTTCAACACTTCCTAAAACTTCTTTATGTGCAAATATAATCTTAATAAACTGAACAACAGCTATTATGTGACCAATGAAACAGCTTTAGAAAATACTCAATGTCAGTCCTCATTATCGTAATCCTCTTCCTCTTCCTCTTCAATTCTTTTATCCAGCACAGCCGGTTGAAGAGGATCGATCGTCATTTTGTCGACGTAGGACAACGGCGGCCACATATTATACTCTTCCAGCTTCATCTCAGAGCTCTCCGTGGCAAAACCATTTTCATCCAATTCAAGGTTCAAATCAAAGTCTCTAACGGCAACACGAGTACAGCTTGAGCCATTTTCCTTCAGTTCTGTTCTGCTAAACTTGTTCACTCCCTGCTCGAGTTTGTCATGGTATTGGGGGCACGTTTCTGGACCATCTTCGCATTTGCTGGAACGAGAAATATCCAACTCAGTTCCATGGGAAGCTCTTCCTCTACCTCGTCCTCTTCCTCTACCTGGTCCTCTGCTATTATGAACCATCTCCTGCCACCAGGTATTTGCTTTTGGTTAATCTAGGAATAAATATTGGATGCTTACATAATAGGAACATTTGTATACATACCATACAATTCTTATATATTTACATAACTGACACCTAAACTTTGATATTTGCATGCTTACCTCTAAATTTTTTTAACATTACATCAAAAAATACCACTATTTCTAACTTTTTAAGAAGTGAAACACACTTCTTTATGCTTAGGTTTATGATACCAAAGTACTATAAATGTAGATATAAAAATTTAGGTATTAGATATGTAAATACATAAGAATTGTGAGCTTATGTAAGTAAATTTCTCTAAATAATAGTAGCTTCTTCACATGGATTTTGGCTAAAAACCAGTAAGCCAATGGAGCACCAAACTCATCTTGTTCAGAGAAGTATAAGGTGAGTCCTAAGTAATCAAAACACCAAAAAATCAGCTTGGACTACATAAACTAAACAGTGCATATTACGTGACAAAAGAATATCATGAAAACTTTATATATATATATATACAAGAAAAATCAATATTAGCATTTTAAAACCACCATTTCATCAAACCATATCAGTTTTAAGTGTCCATGCATCCCCCATTTGTAATAAAAATAATTGCCTGATAATTGTAGCTTGGTAAGGGTTAGTCCGAACGAAGAGTGCAGGATACACGTAGTATAATTTAAAGGACAGGATATGCATGTTTTTCACCCATATTCTTGAAAATTCTGTAAAACACGAATCTGCAAAGTAGATGTGGTTAGCTCACCATTAACCGATCCTTTCATATGATGGATTAGTGGATAGGCGTCCAAACTTTTCAATTGAACAATGGAAGGATTCTCTATGCAATGATATTTCAGTTACTACAATAGACTTCGAATTGTCATAACCACTTGATTCCCTCCGCATCATGAGAGTCAGCAATGAAAAGTGTGTGCTATATAGCTCATAGTGTTTGCAAGAATTTTATGGCAAGAAGCAATAAATTAAAATAATGTGCGTTGCAATAGGGCATATCGCATTGCCCTCTTAACGTGCTATTTAGCTATTTTGATTATGACTTGAAATCAAACTTAAGATTATGTATATATTATTTATTAGTTTATTACGGCATGAATCAAGTTAATTGAAGGCTTCCAAACATGCAATTGATCTCAACTCTCCCCCATCCCGTCAAGCCTACCACTTGCTATCAAAGAGATTCAACACATGACTCATCATGTCAGTGCTTTGTTATTCCCTCTTGCATCAATCGTTCTCTTATCTCACTATCAATGAGCTTCAACACTCATTTTTGTTGGAAAGTCTATCACCTAGTTGCCGAAGATCTTTGAAGCTTTTGGCAAACTATTTTGATAATGTACTTCAATCTTTGGCCACCTCGCTATCGAAGGACTTCGAGTCTTGGAAATACCTCTTGGCCTCAAGCCTTGGACACACTTTGCTTGTTTGATAAGTAACTTGGAGAATTGAAACCTAAGGATAACATTAGTTGCATTCATCATTACCATGACTCAACTTCAAAACTAATAGTCTTTTATATTCAATTGAATTTTTATCCATACTTATGATTTGCTTTTCAATTAAGTAGTTTTTATTTTGTGCTATTTTAAATAACGTGCATTGCGCCATGCATTGTGGTTTTACGGAGCTCTTTGTGCTATGACACATTATTCACCATTAGCAAATATAACAACCATTTAAGTCTCAAGTTGCCCTAGGAGAGAACATTTGTCATTTTAGGTCTTGCCTTACGCAAGAGACAAAAACAAACTTCATTTGAGGAATAAAATTGCCACTTTATTTCAATATACAATGTGCCTCTTCCTTTCTGTTTAATATATCTCCGACATATTTCATCTGCTAGCTCTTCTCTTTACCAAGAACTAAGCATTAGCAATTATTATAAAAATTATCTAAAAAAGGAAACAAAAAAAAAAAGTTCAAAATTAGCTCTCAAAAGAAACAAATCAATTTTCCGTAGATTTTGGAATTTTGAGTTCCAACCTGGTCTGAAAATCAATTTTATGTATTTTATGATGATTTAATATAACTAAAAATAATACAATATGTATAAATCTTATATAAAATTAAGTAGTACACTTCTGATTCAATTCATATTAAAAAGACTTTCTATAATTAAATTTGATTTTGCGTACAGTACTAATAAAGTAGAAATAAAAAATACCAATTCTGAGTAGAGCCAAACACACCAGTAACTCGACTGAAAATAAACTTTGCACCAACTTCAAGATCTATTTCATGAATCGTCATTTTTTATTCATCCTGGCTAAGCATTGCAAGTGCTCTCCAAGTTCGTGGAAATCTTTTTCCATAATTTCTATACAATTTATATTTGATCGACCACATTTTCTTCGAAATGATTCAATATTAATCTTATTACCGTTCATATTGTTGCATCCTTTACTCTTCGCTATATGAGCTAAAACCACCAAAGTTTTTCTACAAACTAGTGCTCAATAAATAATGTTCTCATCATCATTTAATATAATTACTTCTCAATGTATTCTTTTTAATTTTACCACAGAAATATATTAAATTGTTAATTTCTATCACACTCAACTAGGCAACTATCATTGATTTTTATCATCCAAAACTGAAATTCATACAATATTACTCAACCTAATTGCATTTGCATAAAACAATTTACATTCTTCAAGGTATTCTTTTATTGCATGGTGTTGTTAAGCCACTTCTCCATTAAAGTCACCAAATCGTAAAATCAGAAGCTATATCATTATATACAATAGGTTGAAGGATACCTGAACATATCAAAACTCAACATCAAACATCATCTTCTAATAATATTAGCTTAATAACTATTTATAACACATCTATTTATAACACATCTATTTATACTGCATATCATAACATCAATAATTATTCGGGCAATTGTTCTTCTGTAGTAAAACATTCCCCTTGAAAAAAGGCCTCAAGTACATAAAAAAGTTACATGATACTCAAATTCAATGCTTTGTAAGCATCACCATGATCAATACAAATAGATAGAAACCTAATACTAGGCCTTCAATGATATGATAGTGATTGGTTCTCATTGATCACTGTTGCGAATATGAAAACCGGTCCACTGTTCAAATTTGTAGTTTATCATGTTTGACAGTAAATTGAATTTGATACTTGAACCTAATTACAAAATTAATTGCTCTTAATTCCTTCCATAGATTTTCTACAGTTTTTCTTGCATGAATCCCATCATCAATGATTTGTTGCAGAAGAGAAAAAGAAATAATTAATGGACTTTATTAATTATTTGATTAATTCCTTAATGGATCTAATAGCATGATAAAATTAATAAATAAGCACGCTACAACTCCCCAAATAGATTTCTCTCATTGGATTCCTCTTCTTGTGTGGTGGCTTGCGGCAGAAGAAAAAGGAATAGCTTGTTGTTGCTCCCAGTTCATGTCTTCTTCATGTGTGGTGCTCACGGGTAGTGAAGAAGAGAAAGAGAGAGAGGTGAGGAAAAAAAGAAAGAGGTAGAGAGAGAAAGAATGCTTTCTTTTAATTATCGAGGTGATCGACGGGTATAATCCTCAAAGCTAATAAAATCCTCTGCAGCTCCGTGGACGGCAAGTTGTCGAACCACGTAAATCTGCCGAACCACGTAAATCTGTGTGTTTCCGCTGTGTTTTCTGTTTTGTGAATTTTCTCGATCTGATTTTTGCTTTATTGTCCTTGTTTTTCACAACAACTGGTATTAGAGCCTTGGTCCAGATTTGAGGAAAGTGATGACTGAAGATGAAGTGATGACATCAGGGATCGATAAGTTTAATGACAAATTTTGGTTACTAGAGGATGTAGACAGATACCTACCTCTATGGAAAGAAACTTCATCTTTCGTTTTTTGGGAAAACGACCGAAGAATATGGAAGAAGCTGATTCGAATATGTTGGATCAACAGGTTCTGGAGTTTGTTCGATTAACCTTGTCGAGATCAGTGACCCACAATGTCATTAAGGAAATGACTACTGAATATCTCATGGCGGCTTTATCAGATGGTAGAGAATCACAAAGCTATAAAGAAATCTTGCAAGATGAAAATTCAAACAAGTGAGAGCTGATCAAGAAAAAAAAGAAGTTGAAGTTGCGCTTGACTTCAGCTGGTCTTCTAGCTTGAAGACATGGGCTTTGAGTTGCAGAGGTGAAAGATATCACATTTGAAGAAAATGACGATACAATCAGTGGATGATGCAGCCAGTGTACCAGTCTCCAAATGAGAGATTTGTTGGGACTATGAAAACTAGTTCACTGTTCAAATTGACAGTTTCTCATGTTTGATAGCAAATTAGATTTGATACTCGAAATTAATTGCAAAATTAATTGTTATTAATTCCTTTCCTAAATTTTCTACAGCTTTCCTTGCATGAATCACATCACCTATAATTTGCTGCATAAGAGAAAATGAAATAATTAATGAGCTTCATTAATTATTTGATTAATTCCTTAATATGTCTAATAGCATGATGAAATTAATAAATAGGCATGCTACAACTCCCCTAATAGGTTTCTCTCCTTAGATTCCTCTTCTTGTGTGGTGGCTTACGACAGAAGAAAAAAGAATCGCTTATTATTGCTCTCGATTTATGTCTTCTTCATGTGTGGTGCTCCCGGGTAGTGAAGAGAGAGAGAGGGAGAGGGAGAGAGAGAGAGGTAGAGAGAAATAATGTTTTCTTGTAATCGTCGAGATAATCGATGAGTGCAATTCCTCAAGTAATTTGCCGAACCACGTAAATCTGTGTTTCCGCTATGTTTTCTGTTTTGCAAATTTTCTCAATCTGATTTTTGCTTTATTGCTGTCGTTTTTCACAATAATCACTCCATTATTGCATCTAATATTGGCGAATTTTGCATGAGTCATATACTTAATAGCTTTAGCATGCCTTTTATACATAATTTTTACTTGAAGCATACAAACTTAATTCTTGAGATACTCCTCATATGATCAGAAAAAGTCATATAA